TGCTGTTACCTACAAAAAAGATCATACACAATTTTTTTCTATCTCGAATACTTCAAAAATAATCGATTAATTATTCCGTTTATCGCCAATCATTCGTTAACGAGTGGAATTACAAAGTAATTGCATTGGACCTTTCTTGTATCTGATAACTACATCTACATTGAATCTGTTTAACCCACGATCTCATAACAGATCGTACTACTTCGATGTATTAAATTTCCTACCGTATCTGATGTCCAATAAAATTTTTAAATACGATTCGTTTCGGACTTCAATTTTCTCCTTGCATTTAAAAATAAGAATATAGAATTAAATAGGATTGACTTTTAAATTTCCAACCGTGGGTGTAGTTTGCCTTTGCTCTCAGTTTGCCTTCGGCTAAAATGAAAAATTATTTAAATGGGAACGTTCACCAAATTGGATTTATATTTCAGATTTTATTCATCGTATTATAAGTTGCAAATCGTGGAACTAGATATACTTTTACTCGATGTTAGAATCGGGGAACGAATTTGCTCGGATCAAGAAAAGTCACATCGTTCCCCTGATTCTCGTTACCCGTCAGCGTGCTCGTGGGCCATGAAACGGACAGAAGCGAATCGTTTCCAGGCCAGAGGCTCGTCGTCGGAAGTCACCGACTCGTTAACGCGAAATCCGTTAGGTAACGGCGCGCGCGGTTGCGGTTTTTAGGGATCGCGGGTAATTTCGTGCTGAGCACTTGAGGTCACTCGACCTCCCCTTCTTCTAACGACCCGTCGACGACGACGTGCTCAACGTTTTTGTTTATCTAAATAATTCTGGTTCATTCAAGGCCGAGAGATAAGAACAGTTCACATGGTCTTTATGATCATTAATTTCTCCTTGAGATTAAAAAATGCATAATTAATTAGNGCCTACAACTTCTGTATAATACGCTTCTCGCCAGCGTGAATAATTAATTGGATATTTTCTTTTATACTTTTCAGTCTTGTCCTTCCGACGTCTGATGTCTTTTTAATTATAGGAAACGTGTTTTTCTAAGGTACATAAACTTTTCGGATTGACTGTATAGCCAATACATCCTTAAAATGAAGAAATGTGAAACCCTTCTAGCGATCATTTAACAATTATTTAATACTCCTCTTTTTGTTTTCAGATGAACGCGTTTAAAAATTGAAATCCAACACCGAGCCTGCTGCATCCTGACTGGACAACCGTCCGTGAATTGTTCACAAATTTCATTAGATCAAAGAGCGTTACGCGTGAAATGTTGGAACCTTAGAACGATCTCGTAATTATTCCACTGTACATTTCATGGGAACGGGACAGCTGCTGTCTGAAACAGAATCAGAGGCGAGAAACAGGGAATGAATGTTACGTTTTACGAATAACTGCGCGGGATCGGTTCAAAGGGTGAAACGGGTCCGTCTGTGAGAGAAGAAATATTCTCTTTGTCCGGTGGATAAAACGGGCTCGCTGGACCAGAATCTCACCCGCGGGTCAGCGAAGTGAAGCCGCCGCGAGAATCGGAAATTCGATTGGAAGGGACGCGTTTGTCATCCATTGAACTTTTATCAGCGACGGCAAAAGCCACAGAGAAGAAATGAGGCAGATCAGGAACGGGGATTCGGTCCACCGTCGGCGGCGTTGCGTCGATTTAAGATGAAATCTGCTGGGAACGTAAAGAAAATCAAGATGGATAATTAGGCGAAACATGGACGCGGCTAATGCCATTAATAACAACACGCGGGAGTTCTGTAGGTACAAGAATTTTGTGCCTCCCGATGGCGGTGAGTGATATTTTCTCAATTTTTATTTACAGTTCGTAAGGCGATATTAAAGAAGCGATACAGTAATTCTAAACGTTTCCAGATTTCAAAAGTATACGCCTTTCTATTTCTTGTAAGAATTTCGCTGAGAAAATTGTAAATCGATTTGAATCACGAGTAGTACGAGGAGTGCCGTCTCTGGCGTCGATATAAGATTTTCTAAAGCAGCCACTCCCGAAGCAACGTCAATCTTGATGACCTCCTTGATGGTTTACAGAACTGTGGTGCGAACCGGTGTGGGATTCACTGCTCTGTTGGCCGCCAACTAAAGCGTCGACGACGATCAAGCAGAGGTGCCCGTTCGAGGATGGATTCGATACGACCAGTAAGTGCGACGCAGACCTCTTTGATCAATGCACATTTAAATTGCTTGTTACCGCGTTATATCGATACGCGGAACACGTAATTACGGACAGACTACTTCGCTGGTTTGTCAGATCAGAATTCTAATTTAAAATAACACGTTTAATAAATAAAAAAAAAACGAATTGCTATTTGTTTCGAATAGAGAAAGAAAATTAAATGATAAAAAGAAGAGAAAATTGAATGATATTAGAAGAGTGTCGAGAGAATTGGTCATGTAAGTAATTAAAATTGATAATAATTAGAAATTCGTTGTTAAGGAACCGTGAAATTAACAACGACGAAGTATTTCCTAAACTAGTTCCGTTCGGGCATTGGAAGTTCTTTAAAAGTTATCGGTTTTTCATGCAAATGTCGCTTTTAAACTTGCGGCATGGCTAAGAACTTGGAAAGTTTTGCCGGCCGGGATTAATTACTCAATAATGCGAGAAAGCTCTAGCCGGCAACTTTCTGAGAGAGGTCCGTTGATAACCGCGTTAATTGCATCTAGAATAATAATGAACAAAGAGAGAGAGAGAGAGAGGGGGAGAATGAACGAGCCCACCTCCTCCCGTAAACACTTAAATCGAGTCTCACCTTTCATCCTTGCCGCTCGTTAACAAACTAAATTAATTGTTCTAACTGCTAGCGAACAGTCACGGTGTCCGGTTCCATCGCGACCTTCTGTAGAATAAGAAGTTTCATAATCAAATTTATTCATAATTCCGTTTGATTGCTTCATTATTTTCATAATTGATCGTTTAATGAATCTAAACTAGTTTCTATATTAAAATCTCATTTCCTACGAGAGTTATATGGGCTCCGAGCGCGTGTTAACAGAGAGACGAGATTAATTTCTATTCCGATCCAGCAACAAGTGTTCTTGATTGCCCTTAACTTCCGTATAATTGGCCGATTTCAAGAAAAAGGGGACTGAAAGTGGAGAAAGTCGAAAGTCTTTGCCAAGGGGCAGGTGTCTAACAAAAAATCGAGGGTAATGAATCTCTCCAGTTATATCAATCAACCGACTCTTCTCAAACAATTATGAACTCTTGAAGATATCATTAAAAAGTTTGATTATATTCTTTTCGCCGCATCTTTTGCTAAACAGTGTCTAAAAATCTTCTATGCGTACTTTTCCTCCAAGGATTAGAAGGCAAAGCTTATGACGATATTTAGAAATATGTTTTCTCTTGTTGTCGGACATTCTTTCTGAGTTAAAAGCAGTAGGTGACTCCTGACATTTAAACGGGCAGTGAAATTCAATACCAGCCAGTTTTCCAAGAAAGAAGATGAAAAGGAAATTACTTAGAAAAGAAAATAGGTGGAAACTTGCCTCGGCCCTTTGACAAAGCTCTTTCTCATTTCTTGTTCGATTGAGGAATGGAGTGCATGCACGTGTGCGCATTACATTGCGTCATAGGTCATTTCGTAGACGTTTGAAAAAGTTGCGAAATGACAGAAAAGATAGAGAAATTGGAGGAATGCATAAAGCAAGTGGAAAGTAAGGAGATTATGAATAAATTCATCGTTATGAATGAATTTAGCCTGCTTTGTTTCCTCGAAAGTCAGTGACACTTGAACTATTTATGAAGTGACTCGCATGTACCATGACGTAAGAAATAAAGGTCTGACTCTACGTTCTCTTCAGTGAAACGTAATTTCAAATTCTCTTAGTATTTACATATTGTAATTTTGATCATTATTTTTTATTAGAGCTTTCGGATATTCCTAAGGATTTTAAAAAATTGTACCTTGCACAGTGGTTCGAAAATATGGAAAATTATTTCCCAGGTTTATAAAATTTTTTATTACACACAATAACTTGCGAGCGTGAGGCTCATAATTCTCGTTTCGCGATTTTATACGACGCGTGACGCGATTCGCAAAAGGTTGAATAAAATAGAAAAAAGAAAAGGCGGCAGCGGCGTGAAAGAAATTTGCATGTCCAGGATTAACATCCGTGCCAGATGCGACCGGCCGTTCGTCGGTTCCTCCTATTTCATTCGATTTTCTGTTTCCTTTTGAACGCGTTGTCGTCCGACCTGGATGCAAATTTTCCCGCCCGTTGTTACGAGACGCGAGATCATCCCAGTCCAGCGGATTTTCCAAAGTACCATTCGAGATTTAATGCAATCGTTATTGCGATGACCGACGGATATTCTGTTCCAGGCTTTTTTAAATCCCTGACTTAATCCGATCTCTTTTCCTTGAGTGTGAAGTATTTTTACAAGCACGTTGCTGGCGTACTTTTCATATGTAATAAGTGGATTAGATTGTTAGGTAAAATTTTTAAAATCTACAGATTTGTCTATAGTATAATGTAGTAACGTATTCGGTCTCTTTCAAGTTTTGAATACTATATTCTATAGTAGTGGAGAAACATAGAACTGTAAGATAGGAATGATAACAATTTAATACCCGTATAATATTACAGCTGTTCTTGAGGGAGATAATGATCAATCATCGAAAGGCATCACGTTTCGAGCAACCCTAATGCAGAGTATCTTATCTCTTATTCCGTCATCTCATATAATGTTAGGGCTGAAGGAAGGTAAATGCTAACACACATTTCGTTTCAATTACACAGTAGTAAATCCTGCAGATTTTTCTGTATTTCCAACAGACATGTGCAAATATACTGAAATTTGAATACTTGAGAAAATATGAAATATCAAAAGCAATAAATGCAAAGCATTACTTGAAGTAAATATTTTATTTTGCATAGGAATTTGATACACGTTAGTTTTGAAATTTGCGAGGACCTGAAGAGTCGTAGGGGGCAAGATCGTCGGGCAACGGTAACATGTTATCGAGTGCGATCAAAAGAGCAGTACCAAAAGTGGGTCGAGTGCTGCGAGAGTGGCATGCCGATCCGCGTCGGGGTTCGCTCTGTCTCTCGCAGTTATTGTCGTCGTGGAGACGGAAGGCGCATTGCGAACAGAAGTTCCTCCCCCGAGAAGAAGGTACATATCGGAGAGGGTGAGCGACGGCGAGGCTACGGAGACAAGTTCAAGTGAAATTTCGCCACGTGCACGCGAATCGATGCCCATTTTAAAACCGAGCACCTGCGTTATCTCCCGTCTGACTAAAATCAGAAATAATGAGAATTATTTGACAAGCCGACGGTCCTCTGGTTCTCGTGTCGAGTACACTTTAATTCATAACTAGATTCCGTGTAGGAAATTTTAATGAGGAATTGTAAAATTGCGAATAACTTTTTAATTAAATTACGTCTTAAACGCGAACTCGCAAGGGACGGAATAAGAGAGAAATAGAGTTAATGATACTCGAGGGCTTGTACAATGGGAATAATTAAATCAGCTGTGATGGAAGGGGTAATTAAAGGAGATCCTATTATAGGCAGGTCCGATAGCTTACCTTTTCACGAACGTCCTTGACTCTTTGTGGCTGCTTTCGGTGGTCCTGAACAGATTGCAATAATAGGAGAAAAGGACTGCAACGCGGCTGTTCCGTGATTGCAGGCTTTAAGAAAGACCCCAAGTAGCCAGCCGCTGGTATAGCTAGAATAAGGGATAGACTCTTTGGAAACTCCCCCTTTTCATAGAATATGTATTCATGCTCGCTCCTTTATCTCGGCCTTTTAATACCCCACAGATGAAATTCTTTCTCCCTCCAGTTGTTTATCAACCGCAATATTCTGGTTAACTGATTATTACCTCCTCTAATGAAAACTCCCTCAACTGAAGTAATAGAAACGTTTACGACAATGAAATAACATAATTAATAAGTAATAATATAAAATAATAAGTCGTTCATAATAATTTTTGTGGATCAGTATCGATGTTAAAATATTCTATAGCAAACGACGTGTAATACGAACCATGCAGGAATCCTGCGAAAGTTACATAGCCGCGGTTAGGCGAACGTTTAAAGTTGATGCTGATCCACTTAAGTTGCTGCGTTGGCCGAGGTGTTGTTCAGGGCTGTGGCAAATTGTTGGCCAAACAAACCGGATGTGGTCACTTGGGGATCGATCCCCGTCGACTGTTGTAAGTTTACTCGGGACGGGGCTGCGGCCGAGCTTAAACGATTACGGTGTTTGTTTAGAATCGGTGGAGAAGAAGTGCGGGTATAACGGACGATGGGAGGGGCACAACGGCACCAGCAACGAAGACTCGCCTCACGGCTGGGCTAACTACACGACGTGTCTCACGCCGGAAATGCTCAGGCTACACGGGAAGGTCTACAACAATCCCATCGAGGGCAATGTAAGCATAAAATCTTATTAACAGACTTTTGGTAAAAATGAATAGGTTCGTTCGATCGTTCAGACACTGCACTCGATTTCTCGATACTCTGCGCGCAGCTTCGGTGCCACAAATCTATGGTGGTTATGATAAGACAGAGATGTTATTAGACACCTGCGAGAATCGGGTCGAGCCGGATTTTCGAATTGCAGGATTCTCGAGTATAGTCGGGACCGTCGGATATGTCGAGATTTCCGAGAATGTTCGTGATTCTCAGAAACCTGGATTCCTGAAAATGTTCCAAATTGGCAAAAATATTCGGGATTCGTTAGAAGATAGCAAAATTCATCGTGCTGTGAGATCTTTTTATATTTCATTCGTTTTCGAAGACCCGTCACGATCCTTAGAAAAATTATCATCCCATCCAACGTTCTCGTATTCTCGCTAATCTCTAAATACGTATTATATTACGATGAAATATTTTCATCGTTATACACGTAGTGTAAAAACATAAGCTGTGACGTCACTTGACCGCTGGCGTCCACGTTGGATGATCAGCCAATGAGAACGTCCAAGACAGTTCCTTACTTTTTTACAATACGTTAAGACGACATTTGTCTTCGCAACCTGCGTTTCGTCGTGATCTGTTCGCGATATCTCTTTTAATACGAGAAATTAACGTGCGATAGTTCGTGTGTCACACATCGTTTCAACGGATGAAAGTTCCGTGTGTTCAAACAAATGGTTTGCGGTGATTGTTGGTCAGATGAAAATGGACATTGCCGAGAGGACCCGGACGTTGGAATTCGTCGGATTGAGCATCTCTCTGGTAGCATTGCTTGCATCGCTCGCCATATTCTGCCGGTTCAGGTAACGTACCGCTCTTTAATAGAAATGAAAACAGTATTTGTTGTTTGTGAAAGGGGAGACGCGCATATCTCTTTTGCGATGTGATGTTATTCATTCTCGTGTTACGGTGTTCTTTTGAACCGCATAAAGCCGGCAGTAACAGAGTAACGATTCCGCGTCTGGAAAGATGGTTAACGTGTTTGTCCCGCGAAACTGGGTTAAGCCTTTGCCAGGACTTTGCCATTAATGAAATGAACACCCTAATAGCGTCACGGATTGCCAGATGGAGAAACGGCCGTCTTCATTATTTTTTAATCAATTGCATTTTCGAAAACATTCCCGTTCCTCGACGGTTCTTCCATTCTTCGTGAAAGTTCCAAGATCTGATCGAAATAAAACTCGTCGTCTTCTCATTAAATCGCAAACACATATTGGCTTCGTATAAGAAAGTATTCTTGGAAAATAATAGATAAATAAATTATCAGATTACCTTAGAGGTACTGTGTTGCTAATGGGAGTTAATGGATTAAACGCAATGATTCGATTAGAAGGTCGGGTGAATCGCGTGGTTGCAATTCCGTTCACGTTGCGTTTTATGTATACCAGGTCCCTGCGGAATACCAGGACCCGAATACACAAGAATCTGTTCGTCGCCATGGTCGTCCAAGTCCTGATTCGATTAATAGTGTACATAGACATCGAAATACTCAGGAGGAAGACTTACGGCATTCAACGTGGCATTGGGAACACCGTAAGTACCCTAATTACGGTTCAGATATTCCATATTCCAATACATCATATTTCGATCATTGTTCAATTAAATAACTCGTATAATTGCTGGAATTAATACATTTAGAATCTCGTCAGTATCTTTGAAGTTCAAAATTGATCTTTAACGTCCATTAGATAAAACTCGTATAATTTTACCGTTTATTTCTTGGTCCTTGGATCTGTTTATATCGTCCACAAACATTTTATAGCGGACGCAAAAAGTTCGCAGTAAGAAACAGTGTTAAAATAATTGAACGAGTTTTGTTTTGTTACATCTTGTATACACGGAAGAGTGGAAGTTTGTGATCGAAGTTTGTTTTCTCGTTTTGTTTAGCCGGTGCTCTGCGAGGCGAGCTACGCCCTCCTCGAGTACGCAAAAACGGCCATGTTCATGTGGATGTTCATCGAGGGCTTGTTCCTGCACAACATGGTCACTGGTAAGCGGATGAGTTGCGCCGGTGTATCGAATAGTTATACTATTTAGCTCGTAACTAGTCGTATCCCGGTTACCAGACAGACCCCCCCAATTATCAGATTACCTTAGAGGTACTGTGTTGCTAATGGGAGTTAATGGATTAAACGCAATGATTCGATTAGAAGGTCGGGTGAATCGCGTGGTTGCAATTCCGTTCACGTTGCGTTTTATGTATACCAGGTCCCTGCGGAATACCAGGACCCGAATACACAAGAATCTGTTCGTCGCCATGGTCGTCCAAGTCCTGATTCGATTAATAGTGTACATAGACATCGAAATACTCAGGAGGAAGACTTACGGCATTCAACGTGGCATTGGGAACACCGTAAGTACCCTAATTACGGTTCAGATATTCCATATTCCAATACATCATATTTCGATCATTGTTCAATTAAATAACTCGTATAATTGCTGGAATTAATACATTTAGAATCTCGTCAGTATCTTTGAAGTTCAAAATTGATCTTTAACGTCCATTAGATAAAACTCGTATAATTTTACCGTTTATTTCTTGGTCCTTGGATCTGTTTATATCGTCCACAAACATTTTATAGCGGACGCAAAAAGTTCGCAGTAAGAAACAGTGTTAAAATAATTGAACGAGTTTTGTTTTGTTACATCTTGTATACACGGAAGAGTGGAAGTTTGTGATCGAAGTTTGTTTTCTCGTTTTGTTTAGCCGGTGCTCTGCGAGGCGAGCTACGCCCTCCTCGAGTACGCAAAAACGGCCATGTTCATGTGGATGTTCATCGAGGGCTTGTTCCTGCACAACATGGTCACTGGTAAGCGGATGAGTTGCGCCGGTGTATCGAATAGTTATACTATTTAGCTCGTAACTAGTCGTATCCCGGTTACCAGACAGACCCCCCCCCCCGAAACGTTAGCGTCGACCAACACGCCGGGATTGAAAAGCAAAGTTTATCAGAGCTGGCCGGGGTCGCTGCGGCCCTAAGGCGTTTCCATCCTAATTAAAAGTTTGATGAAGCTTCGGCTTTACTTTTCGACCGGGTATCACCGATGACGTAACGAAATCCGGCAAACTTTCTTGCAGCACGCGGCACGCGGCACTCGTTTTCCCGATACCCCCGGCCCGAAAATGTCGCGCGAATGAAATACATACGTTTGTAACTTCGAAACAAGTTTTAAGTAAATGACGGCAGCGTTTAATGGCAGCGCGTTTTAAGGTATTACGGTTAATACAATAACCGAGTGGAGTGAATGTTTCTGAAACACTTCCGAGCGTTTCGATATTGAATTTAATGCGCCCGATGGTCGTAAATTGCTTGCGGAATAATTCATCGCGCCGCGTTCCAAGCGTTTCCGACCGCTGCGGCAAAATATCGTTGTGTATTTATTTAACGAGGAATTGAAAACGTCTGCGCCGATACTACCACAGATCATCGATCTCCGGGAAGATTTATGTAGAATCGCTAGACTAGTGTCCCTCGGGGTAGGATTTGATTAAAATTTGTTGCTCAAGTATCCGTTTTCGAATATTGTTTCAGTTACGGTATTCCAAGAGAATTCCTACTACAGAATGTATCGCTTCATCGGTTGGGGCTGCCCGGTCCTTATGACCCTCGTCTGGGCCGTCATCATGGCATTCTATTATCATCCGAAGTCAAAGTACGTTGAATATAAATATTATTAATTAAGATAAGATTTATTTTAAAAACCATCTACAACATCCACATCGTATCTTATACTTAAATAACATACTTGAAACAAAATTCCTAAAATTTCATATAGTACATGGCCGTGGTTTAACGTTTGTCAACAGATTCTCCAGATGCTGGACTGGATATAATTTGTCTTCCTACTTTTGGGTTCTGGAGGGTCCCAGATTCGCGGTAATATTGGTAAGTTGAAGTTGATTTGGTCAGAAAAGTTTCTTGGAACACGTCGCATGAGAATCATTCGTTTCGTCTCTGATTCCTCAGCTCAATTTTCTGTTCCTGCTGAATATCGTAAGAGTCCTCGTGGTGAAACTCAGACAGAGCCACACAAGTGAGATCGAGCAAGTGCTGTAAGTTCAATTACGATGCAAGACTAAATAGATCGTGCATTATTGAATAAAGATTTGCGAATTATAAATTTAGTTGAATAGTTGTTGAGGGCGTTCTGATATTTTTATTACAGAAAAGCCGTGAGAGCAGCTGTGGTGCTTCTGCCTCTGTTAGGCATCACCAATGTGCTTTTTATGATCGAAGCGCCGCTGCACAACGTCAAGAAATTCGCTGTATGGTCCTATTCAACGCATTTCCTGCAGTCCTTTCAAGGTCTTTTCATAGCTACACTTTATTGCTTCATGAACGGCGAGGTGAGTACGACAATTATTTGAAACTAACGTCGCGTTAGCTCATAATTAATATAAACACGGTCGTACGTTGAATTATTCAATGAAGATTACATAAACGCGGTGGGATTTCATGAACGAAAGTTTGCGAACGATTTCGCTGTTGTTGTTTATGGGAGGCTTAAAATCGCGCGTTTGTTGGTGAACGGGATTTGATAACTTGTCCACGAGTAATCGGTATTCTCCCGTTGGGAGCGTCACATGTTCCGGTTTGTCTTTCCAATCAGTGATTAATGCGGCACGGTGATTAAACGAAACCCGCCCGGTTGCTCGTGCATTATTCATGGGAGACACAGCGGAGTAAACAGTGCACCCATGGGAACCGGACCAAGGCCGGGGTAAAAACGTTTCAACAAAGAGTCGCTTAACGGTCTCGCGATACTTAAACATGCCGCGGTATTGCTTAAACGGAGCGTGATCTAATTGGACAAAACAATCTTTACAGAGGATTAATTCAGTGGAACTTAATTAAATGATAAATCACGGTTCCGTGTGCAGGTAAGGCTCGCCTTGGATAAAACTATTTCCGTCTATCTTTCCTTAAGAGGAACCGATCTACAGGCAAGGAGACAGTCGACCTTCAGCGGTTGCCAGCCCCAAAGAATTGCGTCGGGTGAGTGATTCGATTAATTTATTACCCACCATACCGGATCACCTGTCTGTATTTTTATGTTCGTAATCGTTTATTCAATTAATTTACATTACGCAACGAGCATTCGTAACGATATCACACGGGAGACTGAGATCGCTTTGCAGATATGCATTTTGCAAGCTCCGGTGAAATACGTGTGACTCTTTTTCGCGATGCGTATCGTAAAACAGGTGATCCTGTAAGAATAATTTCAATACACCGACACATGCATGCGAGTGTCCGTTTGCGCACCTGAATATGTGTGCTTGTTTATTATTCTCACATGCCAAAACGGAATTGATTAATATTGATTCACGCATGCTAGAAGCAAACACGTATCTTTAGATGATTGTTGTTTGCCTTATTTACTTCTCTTTTTTTTTAAGAGTACGCTTTTAATTAACGATGGAAAATGTAATACGCTCGCGGGTGACCCAGTTCTTAACGGAAAGATAATTTCCTTGCTTAACTTCCACCTCCGCGATTGTGAAAAACCTGGAGAGACGTCTCGCTCTCTTTGCCGCGTTACTTTTCTGTTCAACGCCAACTCCCATCCTTTGCCCCGTGTTCCAACGAAGGAAAGAGAAGAAAAAATATTATTAAAATATTATTACGCGGTCACCGCTCGAAAAGTAAAGGAATCCGAATAATTTTACGTTCCCCAGTAATGGAACGCATCCGCCACAGGTTGTTTAATGCCGTTAATAAATTCACACCGGGATAATTATTCATGTTTGCGGTTGGTTGAGCAAAATTGATAGCGCTGTTTCCAAAACAGCGTCCACGCAAATTACGTACGAAGAAAACAGTTCATTTTATCATATTTAGTATTCCATTAATATTTCTCATTTCCTTGTGAATATTACATTCTTATAATAATAATAATAATTTTAATTCGTTACTTCGACATTGTTTGAGTAGCAATTTTGTATACTCAGTATAATCATTAACGCTGTTTTGGAGGTCGACGTATTTTGCTTAAATATTTGTCGTGTTTATTGAACTGAGTTGTTTCAACAATCATTATCTGCATGTCTCTTGATACTCGACTGTTCAAATTTTGTTATTTGTGTTTATTACTATGAATAGCTTCTGTCTGAATTTGGCTCGCATGATCATTCGGATTTTTTCAATTTTTAATCACCCGAACAACTTTTGTTACTCACCGAATGTATTGACATTTGAAAGCTTCCAGTTTCATTCACTACCATTGTATTCCCATGACAATAGACTCTCCTTATAAATAAAAGAGCTGTCATTATTTTTAGCGACAGTCTCTCGTTAATGTCAAAGTTCGTCAATTGCACCAAACAGCCGTGGTTAAATGTTCCTCGAGTCCGGTCCCTTCTAATTCCGTGTCAGTTCACCCGATAAAACTGGTTTTTGCATTTCTTAAATGCTTTTATGTAATCCGAGTTTACTACATTAGTTTATTCATCGAAGACGCTTCATCACGATTAGTTCGCTTATTAGACTGCGTATTTTTATGTTAATTTAAATGAATGAAAGGCAGAAAAACATTTTCTCTTCTCGCTTTTTATGTAAATAATTTCCTGCACCTTTTCAGTTGCGGTGAACCCGGAAAATGCGCAGTCTAATTATTATTTTACCCGTGAAAGCACGCGGAGAATTGGCTATATATTGCGCAAGGAATGGAATTATTTTTAAAACAAGGTCGTCGAATATTCGGAAGAGTTGTCACAGAAACTCCGGTCCGTAGAGAAAGGGGCAGTTTCAATCAAATTAATGAAAGCTTGAGTTCTCCAGGCCCTCTCCCTCTTTCGACCGACGGTTGAAAAGCGTTGGAAGAGCTTCTCCTGAACCGGAATCGATTTCGTATGCATTTCTCTCGAATCAGCCAGAGATCGATTACAATTTTAGAAAGAGGGAGAGAGAAAGAAATAGAACTGACCGGTTCGCCTCTCACGTTTCAATTACAATTGCCGGTGTTTTATCAAAGTCTCAAATCAACTGATTCACATCAACGCCGCCTTGTGTGGCTTGTCACATTAAGGGAGAGTTTGTTACTTTGAAATTGGAAACCCTTTGCTTTAATCGATCCGTTTGCGCCTTGTAAAATAAGATACACCCAAGTCGATACAGTGTTCAGAGAGTGAGATATACTCTCTCTCTCTTATAGTGTATTTCGTGTATGATACATACTAAATGATACGCTGCTAATTTTTTATTTATGTACCAACGCGAGAGTCTTGGGAAGAGACACAAGGATGTGCGCAGGTGTTAGATATACGTAAAACAGATTTGGAAAAGAAGTAGGGGTAGGAAGGCGTGAATAATGACGATTGATACTGTGTACACGCAGTGATCGAGATGGAGGAGGATGAGATGAGGTCGACCGGATGGATAAGACTGTGCTGTCGCGGTGGTAACACTCCACCGCCGGACCGACCTGCCGAGTGAGTAATGATCGAGGAAAGCTCGCCAATCCGCGTTTAGATCATTACCAGCATCGACCAGGTCGATCCTCCTTGCGGCGTCATTTACTAGTAGGTAAAAAGTCACATGCATCCCACACGTTCACGCATGCGTCTCTACCCCCCCCCGTTGTTTCGTTAATTCTCGCAACGCTATTTGCGATTTTTAATCTCGGATCGAGTTCCTTTCTTTTAATCGCAGCGAGTTTTCCGGACTTGAAATTCATGCAAATTCTTTTCTATTTGAAACGTTCGTCAAACGATGAGAATACGTTTCTTTCGCTTGACCTTTTCGTTTGCTCTTCCGAGCTTTGCTGAAGTCCCCCACGTCATTTGGTTCATCCGTGTAGGTCGCATGGTCGTTCAGGCTTGGCACTGTGCATGCTTTGCACGTTCCTGAATTTATTTCGTTTTTATTGTATTCGGTACAGAACAGCATTTTTCAAACGGTTTTCATGAAATCAAATTATCGTTTCGTACAATGTAATTGAAACAGAACGGTCGTTTTCGTTTTTGTTCTTTTTATTGTACTCCATGTGTCCTTATTTGTCCCATGGAAAGCTGTTTGTCTTGCGGTCGTTGTTTCCATAAACGACACTTATCCCCTATTGGCTACGCGCCTGATTTCCGGTTCCAGAACAGCAGTCTGACCGCGGAGCCTCCTTGGACTCCTCGACGTTGGAGAAAAGCTTCAGGGTCACCTTCGCACCGTGAACAGACTTTTCAGCTTTCAACAGTTGTGAAATTTCGATGAACCTGGTCGAATAATGACTATGCAATGTGGAGCACATTTATTTCTGTTGAGAAATGAAAATTGATAGGAACGAATCTGTGATCATATGGCAATTAATGATGCGTTTATTAATCGATTAATGAATTAATCTAATTTTTAAATTAAAATCTTGCCATCTGATAGCAGAGGACGATGTTCAAACACGTGTGAGTGTCTAGAATCATAAAATTATTTGCGAACAATTGCGGTAGAGGATTTTCATTGCAATTTTTATATGATTTATAATCGATGGAAGATTGTATCGGTTTGTTTCATGGGAGAGGAGAGTTAGATTTAAATGGATATCGTGTGTATCGTCGTTTACTGTAAGAATTCTCTTTAACAATCGGTGGACTGATCGAGTATCTAAGTGTAACGTTTGCAAGCTTTGTTAAAAGTCGCAAGGTAATAATTAGCATAGTAATCCTGGCTAAAATCATCGCTTGGACGACTTTCCAGCTGTGCGTTTTTTAAACATGTGAATAAATAATCGTGAGAGACGTTTGCTCTTTTCTTCCATTCGAGTGTTTCACTTTTATTATTATACATCTAGTAAACATCTCATTTTTATTGTGTAAATTAAGTATCTGTTATCACAACGAGTCAGTTATTAAATTGTAGAGAGGGTGTTAGGGAAACTGGATTAAATTGATTAAGTCCTGACGTTTTATCGTGTTTGGAAAAATTGTTTTATTTAATTATACAAAAACACATCCTACAAAGTACGAGTTTTCTTTTCTAAAAAGGAACCTGATTGAATTATATTCAATCTCACAGAGTTTCAGTCAGTGTAAGACACGTTTTTTTTACGATAAGTCTTAAAGCTATAAATTAAGAGGACGGATTTGAAAAATTTCCTATTTCTACTCCTTTTGATTTAACTGAAAACCCGAGACTGAATAATTGAATACAAATTGCGAAACGCTGTGTTAATTAATTTAAAACGTTTTATAGAGACTATCACAGAATTAATCGAAACCCGATTGCAATTATCGAAAATAATACTGATCAAAGTGCTCATTCCCACGAGAGAAAAGTAATTTACCTTCGTTAATTATATCGCTAATTAATATTGTCTATCTCGGCAATAATGGGGCCTGTCGTCTTCGCGATAGTCAGATTTGCGATAAAGGAAACGAGTTCGGGTAAATTAGAACTCGTCGTGGAAACTGCGTTCCGTGTCTATCATCTTGCTGCCTAGGAACAGGTCCGTTTTGCTCAGAATTTCCGACAGATTTAATTTCCCATCCAAATCCGTGTCTGACACGCTGATCAAGTGCTTCGCCTCTTGTATCGCGTGTCTGGGATTTCTTAAATCTATGTACATCTGAAAGTACATTATTCACGTATAAACAAATGCAAATTCCTTTTATAAATCCCTTAAGGATGTGTTGGCTATACAGTCAATCCCAAAGGTTTATACACTTTAGAAACGCATTTTTTAAAAAGAAATCAGATGTCGGAAGAACATTGCTAATAATAAACAACAAAAAAAAATTTTCGATTTTTCCGAGATTTTTCCAAGGGGTACCCCTTCAATTTCTTCCAAATTTTCGTTTTTTGCTAATAACTTCCAAACCGTTGGATCTACGGGAAAATTGCATCAGACCTTTCTTGTAGAG